GTGGGAGGCTGCTTGTTAAAAACCGCTGTCAGCTAACTGCATTACATAAAGCTATTCTTAACCATGATGCTAGTCAAAAAATTTGACACATTAATCGATGCATTTAGGCTGCATAACAGGAATGTTTGTATTATCATTATTATTTAATAGGAAAAGTCATTCAGCCAGTGCCCATCCAGAACGGATGAAAAATATCAGTTGTCACCCTGTAAATGTGTTTAATTGAAGGAATATATTCGTTTTTCAACCGCAGTCGGACAAATGCTCGCAGAGTTTAACAAAGCGCTGTCACAGGGCATTAAATACATCAGCGGCCGACACCCAGAACACACCACCATTAACGCCGCACTACATCTGTTTTTACCATAACAGCCCCTCCACAGCCTCCCCCCTAATCAAGCCATGTGCTACAGTGTGGCATAATTGATTGGGCTAATCCTGTAAGATGTCAAATTATGAGATAAAAACACGCCTCGGAGTGACGTATGAAGGCAGCGATGTAAAGCCGAGCACAGGCCCGTGAAATCAACTGGGTGAGATGATGGGTGGCAATGTGTGGGCATTCCCACAATGCACCGCTGCAGTATGTTTCATCATACGGGATTCCCTGGAACAACGGTTCATTTATCATTATTTACCGTCATTATTTATTCATCTGCCACATGCCCTTATTTAGTACGACTTACAGAGCAGTAGAAGATATGAGGGAAAACAAGTTAAAACCCTGTAAGACAATATACAACATATTGCTGAAATACTGGGACAAATGGCAATTCACTAAGTGCACTGAAAGCAAATGGCATGGTCATAAACAAATACTGTATAAACCTGGCAACCGCTGTGTAACACCCTGAAGCTAAATTGCGCGCCCAAACCAGTTGTATGTCTACAGTATTGCAGGAGCACATACTTAGATTGAGAGGAGATCCAAGTCTGGGGAAGCCCAAATCGGTTACCAAAAGGAGTGGAGGCAGAAAAGGGAGGGGAAAGAGGAGGAAGTGGAGGGAGAAAGAAAGGAGAGGAAGAGAACAGGAGAAGGTGGACAACTCACGGGGAGACGAGGAGAGGGGAGCAGATGGGATGAATCAGTCTGTTGGTCTGTCATTAAATCCAGATTCAAACAGGCCTGACAAGACAGCTAGCGCTCTGCTTTAGTTTTGCCTGTCAAAAAGAGACAGGTTTGATAAAGAGTCATGTATTAAATAACCATGATCAAAACTCATTTTTAATGCCTCCACGTGACCTCATTTTTTCTTTAATGCCTAACTGGATCAATGTGGTTTTTTTGATGTGTAATAAGATGCTTCACATTTTTAAACCGCTGTGGCAAAATAAGATGTTTTTCCTTGTAATTCAAGTGGAGAGAGATATGATGGAAATTAATATTAGGAAAGAGAAGCCCAGGGAAGGGAGAGGGGTGAGCCAAAATAAATAAAAATGTTGAAATGTTAAAATATTTCAAGTAAATTGAGTATCCCCTGACTCAGAAGGACACTTTGAAAAAATAACTTTCTTTCTGCATATGTATATGTATGTGTTTGTATATAATGATAAAATAATAATAATAATAGAAAGTTGCATTACATTAAATGTTAATCATTTAGCTATCCAAAAATGCCTTGATTTGGAAAAAACTGAAATTGATTTTATAGAGTTTAATTTCTTTAAATGACCAAATTGACCAGGTTTATAGAACAGAAGCAATACCTACTTCGACTGGCTGATTAATTCCACTTCCACATGTAGCTAGCCAGCTAGCTTGTTCACAGAGCCAGAACAGTGTGTGTCCTTGTGTGGAGTCACATTTTGCATAGGCGGAAATCTTACTTTATTTTACCCTTTTATTTTTTTTTCCACATGCTTGTCACATTCATCCTGAATTCCTTAGCGGGAGAACCGAATCAATTTTCCACCTCAGCATTAATTTCGAAGCATGACAGTCGAACTTAATCAACAGTGACAAATGCTCAGAACCAGAGGCGCCGCCATTTTGAAGGAGGCTTACACTGCCACCAGCGATGGAAACACTTCCAGGTCGCACACTCATTTTTTAAACTGTTTGTAGGGATGTATTACGCATGACATTTAAACACGGCCATTTTAGGCATGCTGTTTCAGAACCACACAGGTTTAGAGGGGTCAAGGTCTTAGTAAAGGTCTCCACCAGGTTTCAGTCAAAGCAAAATGTGGCGGAGGAGGGTCTATTTTCTGCCATATATTGTGTTTCCATTAAGTGGATTTGTTCTGCACTTTTGAGCGCAGTGTTGCGAATAATTTCTGCGCCTATGGAAAACCTTATTAAACGGGCACTGCGACATACGGTCGCTCTCCTTGTTTTTAGTTATTAAATGCGGGCTACGTTGCGCGGGCTAATCCTCTCCACGTCTAAGTCTATTTTCCACCCATGAAGGGAAGTGTGCCTCTCCCGATTGTGCCTCGGGTTAGGTGCATTGGCTAATGGATATGTGCATCGGTGCCTTTTTTCCACAGTAGTACTTTATTCAGATTGGCTAAATAAGGTGGGTAAATCCACCTTATCCAAGGTTATGAAGAGTTACCTCTTGACTTGGCCAAAGGTCACTATCTATGTTCAGGAATGTCACCAGGAGTCTATATTCTGAGCCATTTTTAACACTTATGTGATTTTCATTCTCTGTACTGAAATGTTATCTGAGAGAAATAAATATATATATATATATATATATATATACACACACACACACATAGGGTAGATTTGTAATTGGGTAATGTATTATACATACACTACCCATGTAATATTGTTGACTCCTTATATGGCTTTTTGCTTGTGTTGTACTCTACCTCACTTGTAAGTTGCTTTGGATAAAAATGTCTGCCAAATGAATAAATGTAAATATATGCTCAAATGCATATACTTTTTTGTACTTTTAGTCTTCCCACCTATTACCGTCTAATATGTTCAGAAGAACTGCATGTGTGGTGATGGAGGTGTGATGTAATTTGCTTTGAGATAAAAAAACAAAAAGATCTGAGTGCTTCGTCCCACCTGTTCCATTTCCACCGCACATTACATTACCAGTCATACCAGGGATGCCGGGATACAGTCGGAAATCTAAATTAAAACTTTAAAGAGCCATTATTTAATTACCCCAATGGCAGTGGATTTGGAGTTGGGAAAGAAGGGGGCTGGGATTATTCGGTTTTTCAATTTGCCCGTGCCGTCGCTCCGTCGCGAAGAGCGGGGGGCCCCCTCCTCGGGGCAAAAATGTCCCCTTGCTGATGAAGCGCGCGCAGATAAATGGCATTATGGTAAATTCCACTTAATGACAAAATTTTTAATTTCGCCGAACACGGCCTCTTCTGTGGCGCGCTGAATGGAGGCTAATTACAGCGAGATCCGACAGAAGGAAATATCTCGTCTCCCACCTAGATAATGGCACAAGCAATGGTGCAGATTAATGATGCTATTTATCTTTTTTTTAACATAATAACAATAATAACAATCGTGAAAATTCTATCTGCCTCTAAGCCCGATAGCAAAGCTCCCAGAGGAAAATATTCATCACAATGAAATTGAAGTCGCAACTCAATGGTTTTATTTAAATATTTTTTTAAGAGACAGAGAGAGAGAGAGCGAGAGTGAGAAAGAGAGAGAGAGGAGTGGAAAGAGGTTAACAGGATAGAAGGGTTGAATGGTGATGCATGGTTGTTGTGTGTGTGTGTGCGGCTCTTTCTTTGTAGTATGTACGCATGGTTGTGTGTGCGTGTGGGGCCAATTGTGGGTGAGTTAGCCTGACTAGAGCAAGAATACAGTGGGTTCATGGAAAAGGAAGACCTGTGGAAATTTGGATGTGAGGAAATAGAAATCAATGGGCTTCCCTTTATCCATTGTGGTCAGCCATGTTAGTTAAAATTTGATTTGCTAACTCTAAACCTTTGGCAATATCAGGATATAGGCAAAAAAATCAGCATGTGGTATTGTGTGTACTGACGACCCCTTGAACAGTGTGTGCAGAAAATCAAACACCGCATCGAATACTGTAAAATAAAAATAAAAATAAAAAGGGGAAGCTTCATATGAAAATTAAGTTCCATCAGACACCATGCGGTTTATACGGTGGACCCTGATGGAAATCCTGACTGGGAAATTGTGTCAGAACGACACCAAACTGTGGCTCGGGGGTTTGATTCCCACGAGAGACGCCCCTCCCGCCCCCCCCGGTCCCGCCACTCAGCCGTCCTCGTGCCTATTGGAGCATGCTGTTGCCATGCCGCCGGCGTGCCGCGCCCCGCTGGGCGGTAATTGGCCTCCGCGGCGTGCCGCGTGGCTCCGGCGGCTGACAGGCCCGGGTTTGGCCACCTGCCCCGCTCTGACGCGGTACGGGGGAGGTGGAGGTCTGGTCCTCGATCTGAGCGCCTGCTGGCTTTTCCTCATTCCAGCACTGTTGTCCCCTCAGGCACCGTCCTCAGGTAGGAGGGCATGAGGAGGCTGGAGTGGGTGTCGTGAAGCTAGGTTACCGGTCTCTGAACCAGAATACTATGGGTTTGAATCCGTGGTGTTGCTTGTGAGCAGTTGAATCCAGTATAGATGCAGCTTTAATGTTTCTCTGCTGGAATATGTTAGGAAGGTGTTCCTGACTGCGGCCCGCTCTCTCCCGCCAGCGCAGGTGAGTTGCGGTGAGCGTTGCAGATAGCATCGCTGCCCTGCCGGTCAGCCCTGCCGATAGAGATATCAGCCTAATCCAGCCGCGCTCTGCGCGCGTGCTGCGAGGACCGTGAATGAGCGGAACAAGCATGAAATGAAAGGAAGCGCAGCGCTGTAATCCATAACGGCCCTGTAAAGGTATCGATCGCGCGGGAGGCCCGGCTCGCGCCTTCCTCCCGCCGCTCTCCCCTGCACCTGCGGATTGGGCTCTTACTGGCTGTTCCCTTCAGGTGTGCCCCCCCACCCCTTCCAGTACTCGCAGTCTGTACTCACATACTGACCGGCAGGCTGGTCAATGTCACAGCTTTTCAGGGGCAGCGGTGTAGCATAGTGGTAAGGTGCTGTGCTTGTAACCAAAAGGTTGCCGGTTCGATTCCTCGCTGGGGCACTGCTGCTGTACCCTTGGGCAAGGTACTTAACCCACAGTTGCCTCAGTAAATATCCAGCTGTATAAATTGATAACATTTAAAAATTGTAACCTATGTAAGTTGCTCTGGAAAAGAGCGTCTGCTAAATGACATTGTAACGTAGTTTAACCAAATAGAAAGTTCAGAACCTCAAACAGAACCTCAGAACCTCCCTTGAGTGTGTTACTCAGCTGATTGGATGTGTGGCAGCTGAAGAGACCATGGCTGCTCCCCATGTCTGCAGGCACTGCTTGTAGACACGGCTCTGCTTTAGGAGGGAATAAAAAGGATAAGGCAGGACTCTATTCATTTGATCTGTGTCCCTGAACAGCATGTGTGATATGAAGCCGTCTCGATGCTGGGAATCAGGTGCCCTTTCTAATTCAGACCACTGTCATTCTGCTGATACAGTGCTTCAGTAAAGCTCCACATCTCTAAATGGCACTAACAACACTTCTCAAAGAGGGCCATTAATTTGGCTGTTTGTGAGTGGGATGGAACATAACTGAGGCATGAGATGCTACTCAGACACGGTGTTGAAAAGGTAGCTGTTGGCTCCTGGGAAAATGTTCTCTGTTTCTTTGCATGCATTTCTTGCAAATTTCCTTCCAGTTCCACACCCTTTTTTGCTTCTGCAGATTTGTTCTTACCCCCTTTGCGTACTTCACTGTGCTTGTATTGAGGCAAACCTAGCGCTGCATGGGCTGCTGGTATGAGTGACAGCAATCAGCTCATATGGAGCTGTACTGTAGCAGACAGGTGCAGTTCTTCCCCCCTGTAGCCATTCTCATGGAGAACATGTGCTCAGAATGGCACCGGTGCTTTGCCAGGGTGTCACTTCTCCCGCGATAGAGAAAAGAACGCTGTGAAATAATCTCCCTCTCTGCTGTGACTTTCCCGCCTGCTTCCACCTGTAACGTCTGAGTGTGGCATCGCCTCTTGCCTGGGCACGATCCGAGCATTGGACCAGAGCCTGCCTAAAATCTGTGGGGTGAAAGTGCGATTGCTCTGAGTTTGAGATCAAACCAACTCTGAATGGAATGAATGTTTACTGTATTTCTATGAATACTTAAAGGGCGGGAAGGGCATTTGTCTGAAAATCAATTTGGTATTTGACGGTTATCATTTAATGTGGGTATAACTGGAGGCGATATGCAGTACGAATTTTTTGGAAAGTCACAGTGTGTTTGGAAATTTACCCCAGGGAAGGCGTTTAGTTCAGCCTAACAACAGCACATCCGGAGCATACCTTCCCCACCAAGGGGCGATGTATGCTGGATTAAAAAAAAAAAAAAATTAAGCTGCTCTTACAGTCAGTCACTCGCGTTACAGTCAGTGGAGACTTCCACTGTCCCCACACAGCCTTCTCCCTGCTATATGAGCCTCCAGATTCATTTGATTGCCTGTTGTATAGTTGTGCATAACTAGTAGTTGTACAGATCTACAGCCTGCACTTATGTGTACTTTAAATCAAGTTCATGTTCATTGTGCAGGTGTGCAGTAGCTGTTCATATGTACCTTAGTTCATATGTATGTGCCTTATTCATTCCATTCTTATTCCATGTATGTGTCCTGCACTACTGTTGTTGTTTGTTGTCACACTACTTCCGTTTGGTATTTGGTTTTGTCCCTTTGGCATTGTATGCAAGCACTATGAGAGACACTGGAACCAGAGTCACATTCCTTGTATGTGTAGAAGCACGCCTGGTCTGATTCTGGTTCTGTGCTTTGGTTGGTCAGTGCATTCTGTAGTCATGGACCCACCCGCCCATGGGTTGCTGCAGAGTCTCTTGTAAAAGGCAGGGCTAGAGTGGACACGCAACATGACTGTTGCAGCCCTCATAAACCAATAGTCCCTGGCAGCCTTTGATACAGGGGCAGTGTAATGAGGCTTATTTGCGTAATCTTGAAAACGCTGGCCGGAGCTTTTTTCCCCATGTGGCTTTTAAAAGCAGGAGTGTGTGTGAGTGTGAGGGGGGTCCACAGTGTGGCCGTGTTAGGGAGCCCGCAGCCCTGTCATCCCCCGACAGGCCAGCAGGGCGGCGAGGGGCTGTGCATTTTAGCAGCCTAATCAGATGAAAGCCTCTCGGCTCTCCCTCTTCCAGCCCCCTGAAAGCCCCGCTGTAGCGCTCTGCTCCCTGGCCCGTGTCCTGTGCTCTGGGGGGCCGTGCGCCACCCTCCCGGGCCCCCCTGTGTTCCTCTGCTCACGGCTTTTCTCCTCCGCTCACCCTTTTCTTCAGGCCACGGCACTGACTGCGCCTTCCTTTTAGTCACGTTTTCTGTGCGTGTGTGTGTGTGTGTGTGAGAGGACGCAGAGCACGGCTGTGGTGTGATATTCTGTTTTAGAATGTCAAAGTCTGTGTGTGTGTCTGTTTCTATATGTATCTGGATATGGATAGGGTAGGGTGTGTGTGTGTGTGTGGGAAGGTGTGTGTGTTTATGCGTGTTTATGTGTGTGTGTGCATTCCCTCTGATACAGATTCTGCAGTGTTTGTGTGTTTGTGTGTGTGTGCGTGTGTGTGTGTGTGAGTGAGTGAGGGCTGTGCTATGGGGGTTGGGGTGCAGTGGGGTTGAGGCAACAATACGTGAATGCCAAAATTCAGCTTTCGGTTCTGGCAAACGCGACCAACGACAACTTCCCCTTCAGAGAAATGAGCTGCACAGACTTGTTTTTTATGTTATTTGCCACCACTGATACTAATAGGAGACACATCTGTTCTGTGGTTAGGCTTGTTTATTCCTCCTCTGTGTTCTCGTAGCCCGTTCCCCTGGGCTTTAACCAGGAAGGACACCTAGGTGGGGTGGAGGGCTTATGTCACAGAGCTGTGTTATCGCCGCACGATCTTTTTCCTCGCGCTCACACGACGGTCCACGCCCAGCCCCCCCGCTGCCCCCAGCGCTAGCCCCCCGGCCTCCATTGTTATGTATGGGCTTGCTAATCCCGCTGTGTCGCGGCTGTATCAAACATCACCTCTTCTCGGGGGCGGCCAGTCCCGTCTTCCGCTTTCTTTGTCGGGCCCGACGCCTTAATGGGAGAAGTCAACAGGGCCGCACAAAGAGGCAGCCGGGACAGCTGTTTAATCGGGGTCAGCGGGGAGGGGGCGTGGCCGGGGTGAGGGGGCCGGCCGCGGCCGGGGCTTTGATGTGATTTGGGGCAGAGATACCCCCTCCTCCCCTCCCCCTCCCCTTCACTGGCCCAACCTAGCTCAGCCAGGCACGGTGAGGTCGTCTGTCCGGGACGTTGTGGGGCCGCATGGTTACACTTGATGGGGGTTGTTAGGGGAGACTGACAGGGAGATTTTGTGTGTGTGTTTGTGTGTGTGTATGCGCATATGTGTGCACCCATGTGTGTGTCTGTACATATATGTGTGTGTGTGTGCGTGTGTGTGTTCATTCACTGCCTTAGCTCCAGAAACTGTAGCAGTCTATGAAAAAGACATTCCTGAAACTACATACTAACATTCCTCCTCAGCCTCACATTTCTGTTCTCTCTCTCTCTCTCTCTCTCTCCCTCCCTCCCTCCCTCTCTCCCTCTCTGTTGCCCATCTCTGTGCTATTCCCACAGCTGATTGGTAAGGTTTCCTGAGGAGAGAGGTGGTAAAAATGTAGACAGTGGGCTCGCTTTCAGGTGTCTATGAGTTTTGAAGCCTCTTCCTCCTCTCGCCCCTCTTCCTCCTCCTCTGCGCTCCCCCAGGAGACCGGGAGGGCTGCTTAATTACCCGTCCCGCTGTCACTGGGGCCGGGGACAGCAGCCTCCCGGAAACCAGCTCTCGACCCGCTCAGGCGATTAGTCAGCTGGAATTCATTAGCTGCTCCCCGCTCCGCCGCCGGCGGACTGGCATCCCCGCACTTTTCTCCCTATTATTTTTTTCACGTTCTATTAATTAGCGTACCTACAAGACAGACAGGTAGCATCTGTCGCTGTCTCCTCCCTCCCTCCCTCCTTCTCTCTCCCTCTTTCTCTTTCCCTCCGTGTTTATTTCGCTCCGACTCTGTGTTTATTCCTGGATACAGGGACTCTATGAGAGAAATGACTCCTCTGCCTTCCAGGCTGTTATAAGCACTGTTTTCATTTTTTGGGCCTTTCTGCTGTTTAATTAGGCCATTGTGTTGTTATTAGTACTTGTTTATGAGAGGATTTTTGCTACCTCGGTGGCCTCAGTATCATATGCCAGTGTCCATGGACTCCTGGCTCAAGCAGTAGCTGTCATAGAAAGGAAATGGAGACAACAGCACCCCCTGTCTGCAGCAGTGGGAGCCACACTCAGATGGCTGTGTAACATAACCTAGAACAGTGTTTCTCAATCCTGCTCCTGGAGGCCCACTGTCCTGCATGTTTCCCATCTTTCCCTGCTCTATCTACCTGACTGAACTCGTCAGTGGCACTTTTGATTAGCTGAGCGTACCTGATCTAATCAAGAGCATGTTAATCACACCAATCAGGTGTGTTTGGAGCAAGGATAGAAGATATACAGGACAGTGGGTCTCAGGAGTCGGATTGAGTAACACTGACCTAGAGTAGAATGGCCTGAGTGCACGACCCAAACATATTGCTCAACAGAATATTTTTATCTGTTGTCATTCTCTGTTCCCTCCTTTCCTCATCTCTCCTATCTGGCAGGGAAAAGGAGGCCCGTCTCCTTTGGTTGAGGGGGATCCACTCAGAGGCTGATGAACCCCTGTGGAATGGGAGGGGGCGAGAGCCACTGTGCCGTGCTTCCAAGCAGCCCATTGGCTAGACGGGCCGTGATTGGCAGGAGCGTTTTTGCCTCCCGCCACTCATCTTCACTGTGCTCAGAAAGACGGGGCTCTCTGTGTTTGCAACAGAAACACACATCCACAGGATCAATAGTGGGGCTCTTCCCACACTGCAATACAGTGCTCATCAAAAGCAGAAGTGATTTCAAATTGCTGACCTTGTGCTGACAACAGGATGGTGCATATTTAAATGACAGTTATGTGGCTATTGGCAAGTGCAACACTTTGT